TGTGTGTCACATGTGTTTGCTAGGAGGGTATTTGGATTGATGAGGGTCTTTGGTGATTCAATAAAATGTGGGGGGAAAATGGTATAGAAATAGATAACAGAGACAGTGTGGGAGAACAGGAGGTGGCAGAGGGTAAGAGAGAGGGAACCAAGGATGGGGGAGAAAAGCAAAACATACAGAAAACAAGAAATGGAAGATCATTTGCTAATAATAACATGTTTGTTGATGTGCTTGATTGAGACAATATACAGTGTACTCTGGATAGAAAATCTCATTGTGTATGCTGTAATGATGTACAGTGAATGAATGCAAATAAATTGGAAAAAAAAAAAAAAGAAAAAGAAACTGTGGAAGCCCAGACACCAGGAAAGTGAGATCTTCCACACAGAGAAGGAGAAATATGAGATTTCAGAGCAGCGAAAGATTGATCAGAAAGCTGCGGACTCGCAAATTTTACCAAAAATCAAAGCTGTTCCTCAGCTCCAGGGCTACCTGCGATCCGTGTTTGCCCTTACAAATGGAGTTTATCCACACAAATTGGTGTTCTAAATTTTTTTGCCAAGAACCTATTTAAATAACTGATCATAAAAACAAAAATAACAAAAAACAAACAAACAAACAAAAAACAGTGTTCTCCAGCTGATCTGGGTAGGTTATATTTACTGGAGAATACATCTGTTTGTGGCAAATGCAAACATGGTGGGTTATGATTACCATGAATCAGCTTGCTCTACTTTGAACACCTTGTATTTTCAAGTTAAACAAAAGTTAAAGGATTAATTTTGTTATGAATCAGTACATCGTAGTATTTCTTAGAGTTTGAAGTAACCCTGATTGGTAACGGTTCCTTTTCTCAAATGGGAAAGAAAAGATGAAAGTATGGTCCATCATGACCGCTGAAGGTCACAGGATCCAGAGAATATTCAAGATCCAGAGCATGTTAACATTTATGGAGCAAAAACTTGTACAAAGGCCAAGACATTTCACCAATTTGAAGTTCTGCCCCTTTGAGCATTCTCACACAATTTGGGCAGGGTGAATACGCGTGATCCTGTTTCCAGAGGACACATCTGACCTTGTGGCGGAGGGCTTGCTCAATGAGTAGACTGAGCGAAGAGAAGACCAGTTAGAAGGAAGGAGCCATTTTACTTTCTCTTGCCAGCGCCTTTGATATCTTCTAGGTTATTTTCAGTGCAGTTTTGTGCTGTGTGTCAAAAGTGGCTCAGAAATGTAATAGTTGGAGGATAGGGGACCAATAGTTTGTGTGGTGATTAGGGTGCTGGACTGCCACATGGTTGACTGTGGTTTAAGTCCTGGACCTTGGAGATTGCTTTCTCACTTTCTCTCTCTCTCTGATGAGTGCATGTGCCCTATAGCAAATTAAAAAATAATATTAATAATAAATAAAATTTAAACAATAGTTGAAGGATAAACAGTAATCGAAGCATGAGGGTCACTGATTCTTTTTTTTTTTTTTTTTTACGTTTTGCCATAGGGTGGGTGTGCTCACTAGAAAGAGATAGAGAAAGACAGAGAGAGAAAAAGTGAGAAATCACCCCCCAGGGGGATGACCATGCTGCAATCCTTTTTCCATTCTCCTTTGGGGATTTTGAGCACAGGTGCATACATGCCCTGCAGGCTTTTCTAGCCACAGGGTCTGGGACTTGAACCACAGCAGACCCGTGGGAGTCTAGTGCCTTAACCACCATACTACCTTCTGGCCCAAAGGGCTGCTGATTATAATCTGACAGAATCCAGCTCTTTCTTCCCCCAGAAATGACTCAAAAGAGCAGAGGGTGGAAAGGGGAGGCTTTCACGGTTTTCTTTCAATTTAATACAAACTATATCAGAAGTATAAGCTTCTAATTCTGTTTTTGTTTTTTTGTTTGTTTGTTTTTAATCAAGAAATCAACCCCTTCTTTGGGTAAATAGAAAGCAGTAAGCGAATGCAAAAAAACTAGAAGCTAAACTTTAAAAAGAAGATAATTACTGCAGAATTTTTAAGTGATATATTCAGATTTTTTAAACCATTACATAATGCTCTCTATTGCTATTTTGCAGGGATAATGACCAAGAGAAGATGAAACGTAATGACTGTAAAATAGTTAAATGATATTCAAGTAGTACCTGGAGGCTAGTCAAAAACTCCAAGAGAAATGAAACCATGATTATGAGCCAGTTAGATCTTTCATATGAAGCCGAGGAAAGATTTTATGAAAACGCTGGTTCCAAATAGTGTATAAAAACCTTACAGATTGAAAACCAAATTGAAATGATAAAATGACTAATGGAATAATAGGATAGTGATAAGAATCACTCTCTAAATTCTCATTCTTTGTTTTTCTATCATACTAATTATGGAGTTTTAACAGCAGGATATTAAGAATAAAATGATGTGAGAATCTTGACACTCATCTGAAGGTGTGGCACCCCGTCAACACTTCCCATTCAGATATAGAACCTGCCTATCTTCCCCCTCCTTTCTAGCTAAAGGCAAAAGACCAATACATATGAGGAAACCACATGGTCTCCAAAAGAATCAAAGGACATGCCTGCTTTGTAAAAGGACACACTATGGTCTTAATAATAAATGCCTTACATATTTGAAATGAACTAACCAATAATTTTGTCCATCAATTTGTTGAAAAAATGCACCCCCAAATCCCAAAATACTTTTCACATCTTAAATTATTATATGCTCAGTAGCAAAACAAAATCTGTGGTAATTATATTAAATTTTTATGATAAAAAAATTTCTAATCATTTTTAAAAGAGATTTTTGGTGGAGGGCACATACATTTGCTGAAGAGACAGAAAGTGAGAAATCACCCCACAGTTCCTTCCCCACATCTCCTCTCAGGATTTTGGGCATGCATGCAACATACAGAATGAGTTTAAGGCCACCAGGTCCGAGACTCAAACCATGGTTGACCATGTGGGATTCCAATGACATAATCATTATGCCATCTACTGGTCCCATTTTTAAAAAAGAAAGTCTGCATTAAATAGTTATCCTCCTAAACTTCCCCTCACCATGTCCCAAAGTTTATTAAAGTTGACAGGAATTAATGGTTAAAGTTTTCCAACAGAAGCCTTATATATACTTTTACAAACAACAGATTTAGCAAAATCAACATCAGTAAAACTTCTATAGTATCAATAGCAACAAAATTTCTGTAAGTATCTATAAAACACTTCTTTTATAAATATAAGTTTCTCATACCTGGAATGTTATATAAAAAGTCCCATAATTGTTCTTCTTCCATGTAGTTCACGAAAACATTTCCAAATGTTTGTGGAGAAAAATTGCAATGGTACAATACTTTAAAGATAGCTTCTATCAAACTGGGCCCTTGATTCAGATTATTTCTTGTATCAGAAGCATGTTCTTGAAAGGTGCATTCTTAAAAAGAATAAAAAGGATTTTATAAGGAAGTCATTAACGGATATGATTAAATTCTCATCACTGTAGCATAATGCTATGGAAATATATTTGATTAATAGTTATGTAACAAGAGAACTATTCTTTCAGGTCAATAGTTCATCTAATCCAATATTATTTCTGAGTTACCCATGGATATTTGTGGAAACAAAAATAACTGTGAGATGAACCGCTGTGACATCTCTTCAAAAGTCAATGCTAATTTCCCTGTATATCAGAATTCTTTCTCTTAAGGAAAACTTTTTGTTTGTTTGTTTCTTTTCTCATTTAAAAATAATGTACATTCCCCAGCTGTAGTAGTGCAATAGATTGGGCACTGGTGTGTGACGCTGGGGCCACATGGCAGGCCAGATTTGGATCCCAGGTCAACTTTAATAATAGGAACAGTGGTGCTTGTCTAAGATACTGACTGGCCAAGACACTGCATGAGAGGATCATAGCATGACGAGACCCTGTTAAGGTACTTATCTCTGTCTGTGTGTTTCTCTGTCTCTCTCATAAAATAAATGTACACATAAAGTAAAATTAAAATATTGTAATTTATAGTATTAAAAAAGTCATAATATATATTCATTGTAAAATTTGTTACAAAAAGATCCAGATGACTGAGAAAACTAAAATTATACATAGGAAAATTTATATTTATAGTGGTCTCAAAATTATGTTATCAATTCTACAAATAAATTCAGTAATTTTTCTCAAACATCTAGATTCTGTCATTTCAGGTGAAGAGATCTATCAATTGGTTTCTTTATAAAACTAGTTAAGAAATTCCACAGAACTATTATAGGAGCATTTTAATTACCCTTTTCAACCCTTCTCTGGCTCCATATGGCTTCCTCAAAGATTAGTAATCGAAAATTTGTATCTACAGGTTAGACAGGATGGTGAAATTATAACCTCCATTTTGTCTGGATGATAAATATGGTATGTCCAGTATCATAAAGGGCAAAAATATTTCCTAAGTCAAAGATAATTAGAACTCATATCTTGGCTCATATTATAAATATCTTGAATGAATGCAATTTAGAGAATTTTTCCTTTTTTTTAGTTTCCCAGAGGGCATGTGTGTTTGCCAGACAGAGACAGAGAAATGGACAGGGAGGAACATGAAGGAAGCACCACCTATGGCGCATGGTCACGCTGCAACCCCTTCTCCATCTCTCCCTCCTTTCAGGATTTGGAGCATGTTTGCACACATTCCCTGCATTTTTCTTCTAGCCATGGAGATGTGGACTTGAGCCACGCAGTCGGCTTTATGGCCATATGGGATCCAGCTGCCTTGACCAGGTCACAGGCTGGCCCGACCTAGAGTATTTCTGAATGAGCACTTTTAAAATTCTTGTTCATTTGGAGACTCATCACTTTTATGCTTCCTCCTGATAATTGTATTTCCGTGATTTGAATTTCATGACCTGGAGGAACTCACTGTTATCTGCAAAGTAAGAAATAGGACCGTAGGGGCCAACAAGTGGTGTAGTGGTTAAGAAGCTGGCCTCCCACGTGGTCATCTGTGGCTCAAGTCCTGGATCTGATGGTTTGAAAATTATGCTGGGCATGTATGTGTGGGTGTGACACTGAGAACCTGGATCACTTTTTGGGCAAATTTGGATTTCTGTCACATGTAGTCTAAAGAGTCTTGACTTTTACATCAAGAACAAAATGTTAAATGGCAAATATCCCTAATCTTGGCAATTCATAATTTTACTCTTTTTATAAGTTTATTTATTTATCTAAAAAATTTTGGGAACCAGCAGTTAGCGTAATGGCTATGTCACTGGACTCCCACGTAGTTGACCGCGGTTCGCGTCCCAGACCTGGTGGCTTAAAACTCACACCGGGCGCGTGTGCGTGCATGCCCAAGATCCCGAGAGGAGAATGGAGGAGAGGGGA